GGGGGGGAGGGCAGGGGGGTGGAGAAGGTTACTGTGGTGCTGCCAAGGTCCATCTTCTCTTTGAGAAAGATTCTGCGTGCTTTCACTTGTCTATGATACATGGACCCAATTGCCAAGGAAAAGAGCATGTGGAAGTCAGTGTCAGGGTTCTGGGGCTGTAAACTTGGTGTTGGATGAGTGGATAGATTTTGATGGAGGCCATCCTGCATGGAGAGTCAGGTAAGAAAATGAGGGGTCTAGGAAAGGGACGGGGAGAGACTGAAAGGAGAAAAAGGTGGTGGCAGGCAGACCATCACACATCAGAGGAGAAAAACAAAGGCATGTGACAGAAAGGGGGGGGGAAATGTATGTGTGACTCAGATACCTGGATAGACACAAAGGTCGAGAAGATAGGATATGATAAAGATGAAGATGAAGATGAAGGTACCGAGTCCATTGACTAAGATAAAGATTTATATATGGAAAAAAAAAGTTGAAGGTGATGAAGCTTGAATTGGCCCCTGTTCAAGGTTAAAGGAAATTTGATCATTGCACAAGGATGGCACCCAGTAGTATTGCGATGAATCAATGTCTGTTCATGGGAGCACAATTCGCTTGTCTCCAGTTTTCTTCTGTGCGGTTTCCGTGCACATTCATCCATCGACCCATTCTCCATCTGCATAATCTTATCTATCCAGTGTACAGATTAGATATGGATTAAGGTTGGGTCAATCGAGTCGTTGGGGACATCTTTCCTTTACTTCCCTTTCACCGGTCTTTGTTGCCGAGGTACAGTCCTCATCCAGTCTGTTCTTTGCCTCCTTCTTCGCTGCTCAAAATATGCTCTAGGCTTGGGTGACTTGAGTCACAATTGGCCCGTCTTGTGGTACTAGATGCGATGGCTGTTTTGGCAATGCAACACTGATCAATCCTATGGGTCTGATGGGTGCCTTTCTGGGGTGCAATTTCTGGAGGCATAAGGGTGGTGAGCCGCAGGGCGTGCATCAAATTACGACCCACTGCTCAAGAGACATCGATTAACCTGATGTGCTGGACTTGTGCAGGTGATTGACAGAATTCTCTACAAACTTGATGAGCTGGTCCGCCCATACGTGCACAAAATTCTTGTGGTGATTGAACCTCTTCTAATCGACGAAGATTACTATGCACGTGTCGAAGGCCGAGAGATCATATCGAATCTGAGCAAGGTAAGGCTTTTCCATAGTCATTTGAGAATCCTAAAATTGTGAATATCGTACTCAAAAAAAGTTCGTGAACAATCAAGAAAACAACACGATCTAGAAAGCCCTGGCATCACTACTTGCTAGAAATCACTACTAGCATGAGACATGGTGACGGCTAGTATTTTCTCCTGGTTCCCCCCTCCTCCCTCCCTTCCTCCTGCCATCTCTCCCTCCCTCCCTTCCTTCTCTTTCTGTCTCTCCGCCTTCCGTTCCTTCCTTTCCTTCCTTCCTCTTCCCGTCCTCCGACTTCGCTTCCCATCGTTCCCACTTCCTGTCCCTACCCTGAGTTCTTTCCCCCCTCTTTCATTCTTTCTTCCGTTGCCTTCTGTCCCTTACCTTGGTTCTTTCCCCCCTCTTTCATTCTTTCTTCCTTTGCCGCCTGTCCTATCTCCCCTTTGTTTCTCTCTTCCCTCTCCTCTTTTGTGCTTTCCATCCGTGCCCCTGTTCTCCTTGGTTGATATTACTTGATAGCCTGCGACAGCGGACCTGAATAAGGGAATGAAGGATATAAAAGTAGAAATGCATGTTGTGAATAAATTGAAGCGAATGAATGACTGAAATTGAAAAGAATGAAGGAATGAACAAAGTGAAAGAATGAAAGAATGAACGAACAAATCAATGTGTGAAATGATGCAACTGTGGTCTGGATTGACGGAAATGATGCAAGCATATGTCCCTAACCAGACTGCATGTTGTGTAAGTGACACCATAACAAGGCAGGCCAAACTTGATGGGTTGAAGCTGTCATTGCCGACGCATCGGGGCACGAGGGAGTGTAGGGAAATGTACAAGCTCCCATAACAAATATAGATCGGAGCAACGTGTCACACACACACACACACACACACAATTGTAATTCAGGTTGGTCGTTAACGCTCAGAGAAATGTTGTCTAGGTGTTCCGGAAATCGACTCTATGATGGAGTAAGCAAATGACTTTTCGATGACAGTTTTTTTCACTGGCGTGAAATGGCCTCGGCCAATTTTTGCTCGTAAGTGGCACTTTTTCGGGTGAATGGTGCGCCCACCAATGAGTAGTAGTGAAACAATTTACTGAGGGAAGTGTGGGGTATGGCATGTGTCAAGGGTTTTTCTGACTTTTTCAGCTTTTTTTGTAAGATATTTCTGCTAGCGGAACTGATGCTGGTTTGACTCTGAGGAGAGATTGAAATGCAATTTCTGATTTGCCCCGCGCTCATGGAAAACGTAGAATTAACAATTTTTCAACGACGACCGAGAGTGTCTGCGACGTTATGTCGTATGCTGTGTTTGGTGATGATTGGCACCTGCGGATCCACGGACTCATGCTGGGACTCGTTTTTTTTTTGCATCTCTGGGATTATGTCGCAGGCGGCTGGCTTGGCAACGATGATTGCTGCAATGAGGCCCGATATCGACAATATCGACGAGTATGTGCGGAACACGACTGCACGTGCGTTTTCTGTGGTTGCGTCAGCTCTGGGTATTCCTGCGCTCTTGCCGTTCCTTAAGGCGGTTTGCCAAAGCAAAAAGTCCTGGCAGGCTAGGCACACAGGTATCAAGATTTGCCAGCAGATAGCCATACTTATGGGCTGTGCCGTGCTTCCGCATCTGAAGTCGCTCGTCGAAATCATGGAGCACGGACTAAACGACGAAAACCAGAAGGTGTGTCGGCTATTCATTTCCCATCAACCTCCTGTATCTGTCACCTGCATATTTTTTATTCATCTTGCGGAAAATGTCTGCTGTACTCTGTAAGTTGCTTTCCGTGTCGTCGATGCAGAGGTGCTAGGGCGAGAACTACTGTTCTGGCTTGTGATTTTGCATTGTGGGGTCTGTGAGTACTGTCTTGATGTTTTAGAGTCTTCTCTGATACTTTTGAGACAATAGGATGGGTAAGCTACCATCGTCACTGAATCGAATGACTGTATGTTCTCTTCACGAAGGAAGATGGTATAGGCATTTCATATTCAAGCAGGTCTCTATAGCTCTAGCACCCACGATAGAAAGAGGCCTGTTCATAACTCACTTGTCATCCTCTCAGTTTGGGCGACAATGCTGCTGGGTCTGTGAGTACTGGCTTGATGTCGAGTCTTTTCTGAGCTTGTCACGTCATGATGGGTAGCTAGCATTTCATACTCAATCGCACCTACTTCCAATCCTTATGATTAAAAAAAGGCCTCTTCGCTACTCACTCTTAATCCTCTCAGTTCATACAAGTGTGGTTATCACAACCGAGAATCTGGACCATGTTCAATGTATTGCCTGTTGGATCGAGGAGAATGTTTATGTCAACGTGCATTGATATTGATGTCTACCTCCTGTTGGATTGAGGAGAATGTTTGTGTCAGTGTTTGTTGTTTCACTTTGGAGAGCCGTTGGGATGTTGCGCGTGCTGCACTCAATTGCTTTACAGTTATCGGATTCCCAGGCAGCCATTGGCTCTACGGTCCATGCAGAAGCACATTGTATGTTAGTGAAAACTGAAGGCCAATCTGAGCCAAAGCAAGGAGTGTTGCACTCTGGTGGCGCTGCTACCCTATCATCAGGCACCGCTGTGCCCCACCCAGCTTCCATTGTGACAGCTGCAGCTTCATTGTCATCGGGTGCTCTTCTTCGTTATTGTACAACTTTTCTGATTCTTCTCATTGGTACACTTGCACAAAACCACAAGATCGCCCCGCGGTTTGACTGGCATTGTGGCTCCCACGCTTCACATTGCAGCTTCCCCCATTCCCTTTCCGTTTCATATGATATATTCTCCTGCCACCTCCGACGGTCATATTACCACCCCTCTGGAGCCCCTCCTTAAACCACCAGTAGTTACGATAACTTATGATCCTTTGCTTGCTCAGCCTAGAAATGCCCCCCACGCCAAACAGAAATGAACCTGCATGTTTTCTTTCTTGGATGGCGCCAGCCATTGAGCTCTGGTAGGACGTTCCTTGAAAGTCGCAGCATGCCACTGGTCTTGTTGGAGAAAAATGGCAGGGAAAAGTACTGGTGGTTTAAGATGGTGGAAATCAACCATTGTGCAGAAAATCTTAGTCCTCCTTGCCCCCCCCCCCTTTCCCCCCCTTTCTCTATGGTGTTACTGGAACCCCTCCTTAAGATAGTGGATATCAATCGTTGTACAGAAATCCTACTCGTCCTTACCCCAGTACACCGTAGTGCCCCCCTCCCCCCGAAACCCGAAACCCCTTTCGTCCTGTTCTCGACTGTGTTACATCCTGCCCCTTGATCCTAGTAGGTCGCAATGCCATCAAGCGCGTCCCTCTTGCCGGACCTCACTTCATTCCATGTTCTAGGTCGCTTCTTTTAATCCTTTGTTTAGGTGCTCAACCCCCTTCTCCCCCCCCCCCCCCCCCCCCCCCCCCCCCCCTCCCCGGCCCCACCACTACCACCACCACCACCAATCTATAGTCGTAGCTGTCAAACGTGGCTCTGCATCATAGCCGCCAGAAGGCTTTAATGAATCATGGTGCCTGGTATTGAAAAATAAAAATAAAAAATAAAAATAAAAAATAAAAATACAGCACTGTCAGGGCAACCCACTGGATTGTGATGCGGCTGGCCATGCCAGGAAATTTGGAGCTCAGATGGATAGTACAAGGTCCAGTGCGCTCTTCACGGCTGTATGTAGATTGGGTAGCTCGATCAGAAAACCTCGGTCACGCTGTATGTATAGCAAATGAGAGCTGTTAGCGAGCAAGCATTCAAGAAAAGGTGCTGCGGAATATTTGCTAGATTCTGAGCTGTTGCTGAATCCCTGTGTGATTTGTGCCGAACAAGACAGGCTCATGTTCTGGCTTGGATGATTGCTTACTGGTAAGCCTCTTCACCTACAAACCCAGCAAATGCGCTTCGTGCATTTGCTGACGAAGGGATTCTGATTTGCCAACGAGGGGCTTCAGCTGTGTTTTGTTGCCACGCCATCTTCCCCAAGATCTACGATATCTCGAAAAGATTCGGATGCGATATGTCACTAATGTCTTCAGCCTAAAATAGAACGCACAGCGGTCACTAAATGTCATTGGTGCCACACCGGGCATTCTATTCAGGTGACGGCACTCTCCATGTGGATGGGTCACAAATGTTCGCTTGATTGTGTTCTCTTCATGGTGTGTAGGTGCGAACCATTACTGCATTGGCGCTTGCTGCACTGGCTGAGGCTTCTGCGCCTTATGGTATCGAGAGTTTTGATTCTGTGTTGAAGCCTCTCTGGAAGGGCATTCGGACACACAGAGGAAAAGTGCTCGCAGCTTTTCTGAAAGCGATTGGGTTCATCATTCCCCTCATGGATGCGATGTATGCAAGCTACTATACCAAGGGTAAGCGATGAGATAAACGAAACGTGTGCGTGCGTCTGTCTGCTCGCAGCTAGGGTAACACACTGTCGATGGGTGGCTGATGTGGAAAAACGGTGCTTGGCGTTCACATAGCTCTGCTCGTCTCCGCTTTTCATCTGGCCTACGGTCTTCACCTGAATAGAACCAACTGCCCGGTCATTAAGGCTGGAAGTAGGACCAAATTCACAGCTATAACGACCGTGCGTTCTATCCAGGTGCAAATGGTAGCAGAAGTTGCCCCATTGACATTATTTTTGCCAATTCGGTGTGGTCATCCCCTGGCCATGCTGATGTGATCTGGTGAAGTGCAAGCTCTCTAGTGAGGGTCTCCCCGTTGTGTTTGTGACCTGCGACTCTGGAGCTGAGCTTGGAAAGGACTCTGATTTATGGGTGGTGTGAATCTGGTGCTGTCCTTGGGAAGGAGTGATGCACGCTGGATCGTCGATCACGTATAAGAGTGCCAGGACGTGATGTTGATGGCGATAGTGCTGTGCGGGGTGAAGACGATTGCAAAAGTCGCCGCGTTGACTTTATCGGTGTGGTCATCCCTTGAGACCCTGGCCATGCTGATGTGCTCTGGTGAAGTGCAAGCATTCTAGTGAGGGTTATCCGATTGTAGTTGCCAAATGTGACTCTGGTGCTGCGCTTGGAAAGGACTGATTTTGATTTATTTATGGCTGATGCGACTCTGGTGCTGTGCTTGGAAAGGACTGATTTATCGTACGCCATTGATCGTGTATCTGATTGCCAGTATGTGATGTGGGTGACGATGAAAATGATGATGACAAAAGGGGACAAAGAGGGTTTTAGGGGAAATGAGGAGGATGGTGGTTGTATGGGAGGACAAATACCATGGTGGCAATTATCACGTGGTCTATGAGGACACAACTTGCTGTGTCCTTTGTTATGGAAATGATTTTTGTGGTTTCTGTGCTTGTTGCTGCGTTTGCTGGGGGAAGTCAGTTCCCAGGTGCCTTGTGCCTATTGTCTCTGATAGGGGTGATTATGTTCTGATTTTCTTGTTGTTGTTATGTATTTTTTTCAGAGGTGATGGTTATATTGATTCGGGAGTTTCAGTCACCGGATGAGGAAATGAAGAAGATTGTGTTGAAGGTGGTCAAGCAGTGTGTGAGCACGGATGGTGTGGAAGCGGACTACATTAGGGCCGAAATTCTGCCGGACTTCTTCCGGAACTTCTGGGTCCGAAGGATGGCGCTTGACAGGAGGAATTACCGTCAGCTTGTTGATACCACAGTGGAGATTGCGAACAAGGTAGTAAATACTAAATCGGCAAACCATCCCTGCCTTCCTGCCTGCCTGCCTGCCTGCCTGCCTGCCTGCCTGTCTATCTGGGTATCCATCCATTTGGATGCACCATTGTGTGTTTACAACTTTACACTGTTCAGGACCTCATGCATGCACAAAGACCAATGGCCATCCGCTTGACTGCGCAACCATGAGGGGCATGATTGTCTCTGATAGCCTTGGCCCCTTCTTTCTTCTTTCCTCTTCTTCTTCCTTTGGCCCCCTTTGGTCGGTGAAGAAATCCGTCTGACAAGGCCGGCAATGGTCCATCACCACGTATCCGGCATTGTATACAATGTGGCAGCATGGTAGTCGCCCTTGCACCTCTTCGCATCTGTGGATTGAGTGGCTATGTTTCGACTTCAAACTTCTTTGCTGGCAGGTACATCAAGCTTTTGTTCTGTAGGGCTCTTACCCCCCCGATCAGATGAAGGCCACACACTGCCTGATGTAAAAATAGACAAATTGAGTTATAAAAGTTAATATAAACAGATATAAATAAATAAAATGATTAAAATTAATAAAGAATAAAGTTCCGTTTCTCGAAACTTTCTCCACCATCAGTTCCGGAGACAGAAAAACTTGCGAAAAAATTGCTCGCAGCTTTTTTCACCTGCCTGTTTGGCTGCGCAGGTTGCCTGGAGGCCGACGGTTTGGTAAACTAGTTTTTTGGTGCATTGAGTGCAGCACATTGTTCGTTGCGATTCCTAATTTCAGTTTGAAGCTGCTTAATTTGGGTCTGGTTTCAGCCACCTTCCTTCAACCGTTTATGTCAATCCATTGCGGAAGTCTTGGTCTGATCCGACGACTGAATATGGGCTTACTCCTCTCAAAACTACCTAAATACATCCAGAAAAGAAAAGCTTCAGTATGCCTTATGTTCGCTGCTCGTTTCTTCATGTGTTAGCATGAAGTGAGGCTTCAGTATGCCTTATGTTCGCTGCTCTTTTCTTCATGTGTTAGCAGGAAGTGTGCTCTTCTAGGTGATAGATATATGTGTTTATGCAAACTGGAACTCTTCTGGTTGATATTGCCGGTTTCATACCCTTTGGAAAGAAATAATCCCTGAAGAGCAGAGAGGTATGGCCAGAGCAGGCAGACACAAACATCCGATCTCTGTGTGTGTTACTTTGCCAAGTCTGCTCTTCTAGTGTGCTCTTCTATTCTTTTATGGTATCCCCCTCCTCTCACTGTTGTAGCCAAGCCATCGGGATGGCTTCCTGTAACTGGCGAAGCGTGGAGGCTCTGTCGTTTATGGGCGACGATGAAATGGCTGGAATGACATTGTTTGTGGATCGGATAGGGTGACCGGGAGGGGCGAGGTGGGGCTGGGCTGGGCTGGGATAGATTGGATCAAATCAGATTGATAGGCAAACAAGGCCAAGGACAGTGGGGTGTGCTGTTTCCAGACATACTTTGTGCTTGTGAATCATCGATTTTCTTCAAACCTCTGTGGCAGGGCACTTCTTTGTAAATGAGGTTGTTGAAACAGATAGATGGGCTTTTCGTTGTTATGTGCATTGACCTGTGGTGGGGACACCAGGTTGGTAAACGAGGCTTGGAAGTTATGGGCCATCGGAGGCTGATTGTGTTCCTCTTTCTTTCGTGACAGTTTATTTGGTAGGTGCATGGTGTACCTTTTCTTTTCTTTTCTTTTTTTTTTCTTCTTTTTTTTTAGGTGCATGGGGTACTACTTTCTTGCTAACCATCAATTTTGTAATACAATCGCTGCGGACTTTTAGGGACTTTTTTTTTTTCTTAACTCTTGACCTGTTCTTCACTGTGTATCAGGTGGGAACTTCCGATATCATTGGAAGAGTGGTGGAAGACTTGAAAGATGAGAGTGAGCCCTATCGCCGCATGGTTATGGAAAGTATTGAGAAGGTGGTCGCTAATCTTGGTACTTCGGACATTGATGCCCGTCTTGAGGAACTGCTTATCGATGGCATCCTGTATGCGTTCCAAGAGCAGGTAAGGGACTACCTGCTACCTGCCACAGACATATTTTGGTTAAGTATGCTACTATGCTGCTCATTGTTGGCAAGCGAACTTCACTCACCCAGTGTGACTGGTGTTGGGCAGACCTAGCAAAGAGTTTTGGTCACAATCTACTAATCTAGGCATCTGGGGACATCTATCTATGCAGACTTCCACATCATTCCCAATTCCCCCCCCCCCCCCCCCCCCCTCCCGCCCCTGGCATAACGTTCCCTTTCATGGTTTCCCCTACTTCACCGTTGAAATCTGCCCATCTCAAGAATTTCGGTATTTGTTACTTTTCTTTTTATCTCTCAGGGCATACTCACACACTAGCACTATTTTGCACATTTCTGGACGGAATCACTGCCAGATGCATACATGGCCGGGGGTGGATGTGGCCAGATATATTCATTCAACATAGTGCTAGTGTTAGTACGCCGCCCTCAAATCCCCTCAGCTATAGATCTCCCCACAAGCAACATTCGGCATTCGCATTGGAATGCAGAATGCAGAGGAGCAGGGTGCAGACGAAATGTCGCCCTCGCCTACTAATGCACCGACACTGCAGCACAAGCCGGGGAGCCTAAGTGCTTACGGGAGATGCCTGCTACTGTAGCACAAGTGATTACGGAGGATGTCTGAAACGCAGGATGCAAAGGAGAAGAATGCAGAACTGCCACCCTCACATGTCGCATTGGGGCAGGCAGAACAGGCAGAAGAGCTTCTACCCTCACAGCTCGCATTGGCAGACAAAATTCTGCAAGATTTTGAGCAAACTCTCTCTGAATTTGCCCTCGGTGGCTACCGTCTTGTGTAGCATACTAAATATGCATACAAATGAGCATCATCAACGGAATGGACAAATTATAAGCTGAAGGTATGCTGAAAAATGAAGAGGTGTATGCCTCTCCTCCCCCTGTACTCTGCCTCCGTTCATAGCGTGCAAGTGGGCCGTTATGGCAGACGGGGATGTGGGGAGCTCACACTCAACCACAGTCAGCGGGGCAAACCTTATATCTGAGAGGCACGGTACAAGGGGAGCTGCAACAAGAAACCAAAGTGAAAAACCCAAAATGGGCCAAGGTAAGGAAAGCGAAGAAAGGACTGTACCATGAAAACATTGAAAAGACAATATAACGTTTTTAGTGTGCTTCATGTTGTCTGCTATAGAGGTAAACCTGTTTCAATTTGGATCTGCTTGTCTGGGTGGAAGGAGTTGTTGTGGTTCACCCAAAAATAACGCCTGGGTGTTGTATACGAATATAGCACCCACCGGGCGTTATATTCGTTTATAACGCCCGGGCGTATTAGATTTAGTAAATTGGTGGCAACTTCGGTGGTGGCCCAAAAATAATAATAAAAAAAAAATCAAAAATTTTAAATTTCTGTAAAAAAAAATGTTGTCCAGAATTGCAGTGCGACCAACGCTTGGCTGAGGGTCACTTCAGAACTCCTTAGAAACTCGGAAATAAAAACAAAAAATCAAATCAAAATATACCCCTTGGAAGTCAACCCCCCTTTCAACCCCTTTCAAAAAGCCCATGTATCCGCCCCCGCCCTTTCAAACCCTTGTATACTACCTCTACGAGGCACTCTGCCCATGGGACATTCGAATAGAACGCCCGGGCGTTATATTCGAAGGTGCATTCTATTTGAAAAAAAAGTGAGTAAAAACGAAAATCTGATCTTGTTAGCGTAACTTGAATATAACGCCCGGCCGTTATTTTCGGGTGAAGACGGTAGCAGGATACAGTCCCAGTCTGCAGCGCACACACGAGTGAAAGTCTGATTGAAGTCTGTCAAAGTCACCTCTTTCCCTGTGAGTTCTGTGTAGGGAACGACTACATTCAATGAATACATTCAGACCACACATTCATGCACGCACATCGAGATAGTCTGGACATGTGTGTCCCGATCCGGTGTCTGGTTGGACTTTCTGGTGAGGCCTTCGCAAAGAGGATTTGAAAACAGGGGAGGCTTGGGATGATTTCCGTTTTCCACGAGGCTGTATGTGTGTGGCGAGGGGGAGTGGGGGGGGGTGGGGCGCAAGGACCCGCCATGTATATCATGATTTTCTTGTGGCCAACTGTCGTTTGCATGTGATGCTCTGCTTATGCCTTGCTGTTTGCATTGATGTATGTGTATGGTATGGTGCAGACGAGTGATGATTCAAATGTAATGCTCAATGGATTCGGCACAGTGGTGAATGCGCTAGGACAGCGAGTGAAGCCTTACTTGCCGCAGATTTGCGGAACGATCAAATGGAGACTGAATAACAAGAGTGCAAAGGTTAGGCAGCAAGCAGCAGATCTGATTGCTCGGATCGCTGTGGTAATGAAGCAATGCCATGAAGAGCAGCTTATGGGACATCTTGGGGTTGTGCTTTATGAGTACCTGGGCGAAGGTGGGTCACTGCTTTGGATCTCTCTCTCTCTCTCTCTCTCTCTCTCTCTCTCTCTCTCTCTCTCTCTCTCTCTCTCTCTCT